TGTTGTGTTTACATTCGGAACTTATGCGATTTTATAATTTAATTAAAAAAATAGCATGTGTATATAAACAATTTAAATAATAACTTCAATATAAATAAAACTTGTCTTGTCATACAATTTCCTTAAACCGTTTAATTCCTACAAATACAATAAATTGGCGACGAGGATTGTTAGAAACGACGACCTACAATGACTACAAGCATAATTTTTCAAATTGAAATGTTTGAAAATTCTCGATTTCAATGGGAGAGATGGGTGAAACGATTGGAAGGTGCTTTTGATGTGTTTCAAATTGAAGAGAATAAGAAACTGCCATACCTACTACATTATATGGGACCTGATACATATGATCTTCTTTGCGACAAGCTTTCACCTAACAAACCTACAGACAAGACATACAATCAAGTTGTTAAACTTTTACAAGATTACTACAGTCCTGTTCCTTTGGAAATTGCAGAAAATTTTAGATTCCATCAACGCAAACAGCACGAAGGCGAAGGTATTCAGGAATTCTACACTGCTTTGCAGAAGTTAGCAATTCATTGCAATTTTGGAGATTACCAAAAGAAGGCTCTGAGAAACCAATTCGTGTTTGGCATGCGGAGTGAGAAAATACAAAATAGACTTCTTGAAACAAAGGACCTTACAATGGACAAAGCAATAGAAATTGCTGTTGGAATTGAACTTTCAGCTAGAGACACCGCACAATTACACAGAGGAGTTTCAAACAGCGGTACAATTGGAGCTGTGGGTATAAACAGACCACACATGAAATACAATTCCAAGAAAGGCAAATTCAATACATCCAATACAAGCAAGAAAACCAATAATTTTAGTGGCGTGAAATGTTATAGATGTGGAGGAAGCCATTACGCAAATTCGTGCGACAAAAGCGATTTGGTGTGTAACTTTTGTAGAATCAAAGGACATGTAGAAAAAGTATGTACAAAGAAGAAACATTTTCATAATGCAGACCAGATTGAAGAAATTGTACATATTGAGGAATCTTCCCAGTCGAAGTACAGAGAAAAATTTATGTCACGCATTAAAGTAGGTAATAAGAATATCAATTTTGAGGTGGACAGTGGAGCCGCAGTTACAATTATGGGTAAGAAACAATTTGACGAACTTTTTCATGACTTTACCATTTTTGACACAAATGTCAAATTAATTTCATACTGCAAAACTAATTTGAATGTATTAGGTTATGCTCATGTCCCAGTTATTTACAATGGTACATCTTACAATTTGAATCTTTACATAGTTTCGTGTAATCGTCAACCTTTACTTGGCAGAGAATGGATTCGCCAAATAAATTTAAATTTTTGGGAAGTACGAAACGTCCAAAACTACACTGAAGGTGCATCAGATATAATTACCAAGTTGACTACAAAGTACAGTAAGGTATTTACATCTGGTATTGGAAAAATACATAACATACAAGCACGTTTACAATTAAAAGAAAATACAACGCCTATATTTTGTAAGGCGAGATCAGTACCTTTTGCATTAATGTCAAAAGTTGAAACTGAAATTGATAATTTAGTAACACAAGGTATTTTGACTAAGGTAAATTTTTCAACATGGGCTACACCCATTGTACCGGTTGTTAAAGCCAATGGAAAGATACGCATATGCGGAGATTTCAAAGTTACATTGAATTCTTATTTACAAGTCGATGAACATCCATTACCAACAATTGATGAGCTTTTCTCATCAATGGCTGGTGGTGAAAAGTTTACAAAGATAGACTTAAGTCAAGCTTACTTACATTTAGAAGTGCATCCTGATGATAGGCATTTACTAACATTGAATACCCATAAGGGCCTATATCAATGCAACCGTTTAATGTTCGGTATTGCTTCTGCACCTGCTATTTGGCAGCGGCAGATGGAAAAACTATTAGAAGGGATTCCTGGTGTATCAGTTTTCCTGGATGATATTAAAATTACTGGACCGAATAATTTAATACATTCGGAACTTATGCGATTTTATAATTTAATTAAAAAAATAGCATGTGTATATAAACAATTTAAATAATAACTTCAATATAAATAAAACTTGTCTTGTCATACAATTTCCTTAAACCGTTTAATTCCTACAAATACAATAA